CATCTCGAGATATTTGCGATCGTATTTCGAAATCTGGACTCCTTTATTTAAAGTAGAATTTATGGATTTATAATTTTGGCCGATAATATAATTGCGAGTATCTCGTGATTGGATGATCCGAAATTAATGAATGTTAGCTTATTGGATCCGCCTAGTTTCGAGGAATCGAATGGTAGTTTTTTCATACGAATCGGTGCGATATTGACTGAGATCGTACATCTTTTGTTTTTTATTTTTTATAAATATAAAAAATCATATGATATGATGTCATTTCAACTATTTCATAACTTTAGCCTCCAATGATCGAAATGATTTCGACCATTTTGACCATTTCGGATATCCGAAATGATCCATTTTGACTTCATGTATAATCATAGCTGTTATTTCTTTATTCTTGGATCCTCATAATGGTACAGTAGAGATGAACGAAGGAATAGTGACACTAATAATGATAATTTATTTAGTGAGTATCACTTGTGAATTGTAAACTAACCTAATATTATGTTAACTTTGTTTTTTAATTTCAGGATGAATTAAATGAAAATGTGGAAGATTCAGATTAGGAATTTAATATAAGATTTATTTTCATGTTGCTACTTATTACTTATTATTAAAAATTTAATAATTAATAATATATCATTTTACTTGTATTTACATGCATTATGAATTCAATAAAAAATTTACATAATTAAATATTATCGTTATATTGATAATTTTTATAAATAAATGTTTACACTAACCGAAAAATGGATGTTAAATTAATAGTTTTTAGATGCATATAACATGACGTCTAACCTGCGGAGGGTTCATCAATAAACATTTATTGGACATATGATCAATAATGGTTACCGGTCTCCTTGGAAATTTAGTAATGTAGGAAGGAGAATACTGAGATTCCTGATCTTAGATTCAAGCTCTCAGTGTCTGATGCTGAAATAGCTGAACTTAAGCGTAGGAATGCCAAGGCTCTAAGACAGGCTAATGAAGAGAGTAAGAGATGTGATACTGAGAATGCTGAACTTAAGATCAAAAAAATCGAATTTTTAAAATCTACCAAAAAATATTACACAGAATTTGAGGGTTATATAGTAAAATTAAAACATCTTAGTTTGCAAAACCCAGACAATCTTGAAAGTATTGAGACTTTAATTCGTGATATCAAGGCTCAGAATGTAAGGAATAAATCAATTATAGAAGAATATGAAAAAGAACTGGAATCCAAGAAAAATCGCAAATTCCAGACCAGATGCATCCAGATAGTTAAGGAAATTCTTAATGAGAAACTTATTATCGAATATCGCCTTCCTTTCCTGAATGGATTAGAGCTTGATGTTTTCTTTCAAAAATATCGAATCACATTAGAGGTGCAAGGGGTTCAGCATCGGTTTCATAGTACTAACTGGTATAAAGATGTTAAGAAACTCGAAGATATTGTTAATCGTGATCAGAAAAAACAATGCATATGTCAAGATATTGGAATTTCCCTTCTTGAGATATGGTACGATGAAAAACTGGAAATTGTTATTCCTAACAGAATACAAAAAATTAAGAAGTTTGTTTGTCTAATATCTAAAAGTTTTGATATTCAAACCATATTCTATAAAATATTAACCCCCAAATATCTGGATTAGCATGCCAAATTAACTGGGTTACCAAGCATTTTGACAAATAAGACCTGTTCCAATTTATACAAAAGATACAAGAAAGAAACTGGTCATGAATCATAGTAATTACCAAAAGTTGTAAAACAAACCTCAAGCCTTTGATTTCAAGCCTATTACTTTCGAAGCCAGACTTGATCCAGAATTAATTATCAAATCCATTTTAGAACATTTCTCATACTTGAAATTCTGAAATAGTTTTAGAGGGATTAATAATTATAATTTTGCATCATCTCAACCATAAAGCTCATCGTGTCCTATATGTGATAGAAGACATGGATTACATGACGAATGGTATGGAACAGAATATTATCTTACTTGCTTCACTTCAAGCAATAAACTTATTAAGTTCGCGATTGTGGCTTAGACTGGTCATGTAAAATAGATCACAGGTAACTTGATAATGATAAATCACTTACTACGCCAGAATTATAGCATGGTTAAGAATTATTTTTATTGGATATTATGTGTATTATATAATCAATCACAAATGATTAGCAATTATATTGACGCATTATTTTAAAAAAAGAGAAACAGGTTGCATAATAAAGTCACCTTGTATTACAAAATAACCATACCTAAATTTACGCAAAGGTTTAGCATTATTTTCACTATACAGATTCTTCAATGGTTTTTTTTGATTCCACTTCAGTTTAAACTTTGTCTAATAGTAATGGTTAGAATAAATTTTCATCAGAATAATGGTTCTTGTGCTGTATATGGTCAGCAAATTTCTGGAGAAAAATATAGAAAACTAAGTGAAAACTTACTTGCCAAAGCAATAAAAAGTCCTACTGCTCAATAACTTACTTTTGAGTTTAAGCTTAATGATCAATTGTGTCAACTTCATTATAATAATTTTGTTGTTTATTATCGAGAAATAACTAAATTACAAAATAAAAGAAAAAATACAGATTTATCATATTATCCAAAAGATATAAAGCAAAGAAAAGTTTCTTTATCACAAGAAACATATGATAAACTTATATGGCAAATAGAAGACTTAGAACTTCAATTAAATCAGGTAAAGAAAGCAAAGGAATTAAGTAATTTTTTTTTGATTTTTTAAATTCAAATTAATTTAAACTTTTACTTATTATTTATTTTATTGTTAAATTATTAGGATTAAATGAGTTTTTAGAGTATTTTGCAGATAAAATTGGACGGATCACAAATGTTTTGTATAGATATTTTCGTGAAAAAAAATTGTCAGTTTGGAATGCAACAGAATTTGAAGAATTAATTGAAGGTCATGATACGCAAACTAAGGGGTTTTTTGATATGATTTTCCAATCTATGAATCCCAAAAGCAAAAACTTACAAATACAACAATTATTAAAGCAAAAGGTTATGCTGTTATATTATCAAATTGCTGCAATGTGCAACAAGCAAGTTAGTGGTGCCAAAACTGCAATTGGATTGTTTTTAATTAATTCAGGTGCATTAGTGACTTGCATAAATGCTTTAGCAAATATGGAAATATGTTCAACATATCAAACTTTATATAATAAATTAGAAATTATTGTAAATAATCACCAATTTAGTGTGCAAGCATATATTTATAGATATGTAAGTTAAAATAAAAGTTTATTTTATTTTTATAAAAATGCTAATAAAATAATTATGTAATTTATTTAACGTAATAAACTTATAATAGGTTGTATTGATGATTACCATAATTTATATAGTACACGAATTCCTTTTGTAACATCTAAGGATCAGATCTCACATATGACTACTATATTGTTTAATACTAATGAAGCATCACCAATTCCTTATTATATTACTAATCATTCACCTATACATAATCCAAATGATGTAGATGCATTTATTATTAAGACAGCATTTTGGGCTACGCATTTTATTTCTTTATGTAAAAGTTATAATTCAGTTAAACTTAACTAGAATAATAACTATGAAGGGAAGTTAATGGAATCATTAACTATACATTCGTATGACGTGAATTTATGGGAACAATATGGTCGAAAATTTGATCAGACAAAACTTGTTGATTTGCTAAAATTATCTTTAAAAAATACTAATAATTATATTCAAGCAATTCAATCTTTTATTGAGTATGTAATTTGTAATTTATTTACAATTGTTAAATTTTTTACTTACAATAATTATTTTTCAAAGATTACCCGAAATAAAAGACTATTTAAAGCAGTATATTATTTCTATTCCCGCAGATTTTCCTGGACAATTGTTCATTAGAAGAGCAATTACTAATATTTTGAAATCTGATAATAATGCGTCAATATCAAACAATATCATGCACTTAATTCCCTTTCTTGCCTATTACATGTTTCACTTAACAGTCGCAAATCAGTTTTTCTTGTTTTTTGGTCTTTTTTTAACCAGTTGTATTTAACAATATTTGATGCTAAAAAGAAGCTTGCAGCAAAACCAAAGCCCTGGAGAATTAATTTGTTAATGTATTTAGCAAATTCAGGATGGAAGATTATAAAAAATATTGTAACAGCAAGATTTAAAATACAAAATTTACCGGATACAGAACTTTTTTGATTTACTTGATAATCTTATTCCAGCAACTTTAGATTTCTATACTATTCTTTTTCGAAACAACAAATTTGAAGAATATGTTGATACAATATTTCGTCAATGGAGCATGATGAGAAGATTTTAGCGACATAATTATGATAAAATCCTTTTTGCTTTTTTATCTGACGTGTATTACTGGAAATCCATCAATCATCCTATTATTGAAACTTTAAAAAATAATTTAAATATGTTTGATAAATATGTTATTGAAAAATTTCATAATCTTTTACAAAGACATACCACAGCAAAAATTTTTTCAAGTAAATCTCTTAGACGTGATGCTCTTTTTATTGATAACTTCCGAAATGAAAATTTATTTGCTACATCATTTGTACCTAAACGGAATTACCCATATAAAAAAAGGATTTAGATGAAATAATCAAAAGAACTGCTCTTTTTTTATTGAATTTCTTTGATGATATTTGGAAAAACAATGGTAAAGTTGAAAAGAAAATGGAAGGAAAAAGAACCAAAAAACCTCATTATTATTTTGCACCTATTCTCACGAGTTTTCCTTTTGGTGCTCTGCCTCTTGGATATCATTCTCCTGTACCTCCAAATATGAAAATATTTTGTGACAAAAAATTTTGTAAAGAATCAACGGATGAGGAAGGCGAAGTTTTGATATGTGGTCATGCATATCACGAAAAATGTTTTCGGGTATTAGGTTTAAAGTGTGAACATTGTTATAAATATTTAGATAAATCTATTGACGAATTGACAAAATCGTATAATCAAAGACTGCACTTAGAAGAAGCCCAAGAAGAATCGGATATTAATGAGGAAATAGATGAAGATAATGAAGAATTTGAAGAAACAGATAATTATAAATCAAAAGTTGAGACTGGTTCCGAATTACAAAAAAGGATTTTAGGTATATTAAAAATATTGTATTGTAATTAGTAAATTTTACTAATAATTAATATTTTTAGAGTTTTCAAACCAAACTCTCTTTGCAAATTCACACCGAACATTACAAAATATTACTAATATCTCAAATATCTAATGTATTCGTTATTATCGTAATAAAAAAAATAAAAGTTTTTTTATTGGCTAGTAAATGTTGATCATCACATGAAATTAAACCAATGAATAGATTTTTAACCATGCTCAGAATTACTGCATCCCTTATTTGTAGTACAAACTTCGATCACACTTCGCTTTTATTTTTTCCATATGCTCGTCAAGTACACCAGAAAGACCGCGCTTCTCAGAAGGACTCGAGGGTTCTTTCCCCACAGTCTTTGGCTCCCACAGGCCAAGTGGCCGTCGCTTATACATGACCGTTATGCATCACAGGCTCGCCACGCCCATACCTCATATACAAAGGATGCCCT